AGAACGCACAACTAGCTAAGAGCGCGGAAAATAAAAGCAATAAAGGACGGTCAGAGAACACAGCAAGACGACCGAAAATAAAAATAGAGTAAAAAGAGAAGTGCTTATGCAGTAAAACGCACAAAAAAATAGTAAAAGGAGCAGTAAAAGAAATCCACCAAGGACAAAACCAGGTAAGACCAGAGAAGCGTAAAAGCAACAAAGCACAGGAATTAAAGTAAAAGCAGTAAAAAGATACAGTATGACGAAACACAGTAACAGAACACACAAAAAGGAACAGTTAAATAAAATCAATAGGCTCACTTAGCTACTATTCACCATGCATGATATAACCTATAGAAAATAGCTATACTGGACGTCTCAGCGTCAAGGAGTGATGCTAGAGTACGTAATCACGCACTAATTAGTCCCACCGAATGCCGCCAAATTAACTGTGAGGTATTCTTTGCTCTGTGGGCATTAGTATGTGTCTGTGTGTATGTGTGTGGGTTCACCGTGGCTAGATGCTGTGTAGTGGTAGCGTGAAGCATCTAGGCACACAAAAAAAGACCGAGCATAACCATCACTCCTTCACGTTCAGCCTATGGGGTTTGTTCGTATGAACTAGTTCCTTTAATCATAAAGACAATGCAGTGAATGAATGCACCGTAAATCATGGGAAAACAAAGCTTTAGTTAAACTTAAAACTTGAAAACAAAAGATAAAGTTGATAATCACTTGATTGATTGCTTAAATTATTGATTAAGATGACGCTTATAATTAAGATTAGTGTATCTCATGATCACTTAAATAAAAGAAAAGGATCACGTCCAGCTCCTCAGAAAAAAAGACACACGTCAGAACACAGAACTTAACTTCTTTGTTTCGGGGGCGGGGCCGCCTCGCACAGGGGGTAGTAACACACAGGGTATCTGGTCCAGACTGAGTATATTTCGCGCCGTTTTTTGGCGATACTTATAGCGTTCGTGACGTCACGAACTACGTCACGAACCATACATTTTTCGTATTTATTTTACATTCGTGTTCAGCTTTCAGTTTAAAAACATATGTTGTAAAAAGATCAGAAGAAAAGATAAAAATTAGTCTTAAGTTGAAATAAAATAAAAAATACTGAACAAAAAGTAAATATAAAAGTATATGAGTAGCGTAAAATGCTCGAAAAATAATAAAAGTTAAATACAATACCTAAAAAAAATTAAGTTAAAAAGGAAATAAAGTACATAGACTTTCAAATCATAAGGCAAGGCAAATAAGATGACTAGGTAAAATCGAAAGAAAAAGAAAACAACTATAAAAAGGGGAAACTCAACTAAAAGGGTAAAAACAATAGAACGAAATAAAATGCCAAACAAAAAGACGAGACCCCCAAAAGAAGAGCAGGGGCGAGCGAGCAGAGTCCGGACGCGGCCGAAAGACGGAATGAGTGGCGAGATCCAACCATCTTGGAAACCCGAGTTCCGAAGGACTGAGATGCCACCTTACAATTGGAGTGAAAATGAAACATTATTTTTTGACATTGCTTCTTAAATACGTCACGGGAGGATGAATGTCCTCACAATGAGAAGGCTTTATGATGAAAAAAATTAAGAAAATCTAGAAATTACCTTTTTTTTCATATTTAGACCGTATAGCAGAAATTTTACGTTTTTTTTTTATCATCATTGGTGCCCAAACAGGAAAAAACTCAGCAACAATGTACCTATTTTTAAAATCAAATATAAACTAAAGCACAATAATAGAAATCCCACATAAAATGTTCCAAAATATCAACGCTTTCCAAACATTTCCAACGAAAGAAATAAAAATTCTAGGTCACTCGGTAACTACGAACCGCTTGTTACCGTTTCTCGTTATATCTGCACACATGTGCATGCATATACTCACATTTACATCCATTTACACGTTTACATGCACCTATAGACACATTAACATCCATAAGTACATGTATCCACGCAATCGTGTATGTGTACCTACATAGACATGTATGCATATGTAAGCACCTGTAGATGCTAGAAAACACTAATAAAAGTGGTCTGAGACAAGCAGTCATTGTGCTTATACATGCGTCATGTTGCCGAGGTTGGCATGTATACGTTGTAACTCGAGACCCAGCCTAGACTTAATGCAACAAGCGGCCTTTGAAAGAGAAATGTGCGTAGTTTTAGAGTTGATTAGATGATACATTTTAATTGGAGAGATTCACAGGATGAACGGAAGATTCACAGACAATGAAATCAAATTTTTTTATCCCACAAACATTTTTTCGAGCTTCAGTACAGCTATTCTCAGTTTATATCAGATCTAAGATTTGTTCATAACAAATGGGAAGCATATAGAAATGCATGTTAATTTACATCGGAGATTTTTTCTGCTGCTGTTTATTTCTCGCATCTTTTTTAACTGCCCATTATACATGGCTTTTCCTTCTTAGAGATACTACATACATAGTATCTATTATTTATCGAGTGGAATGCTCTTGTTTGTATGGAAGTCTGCGATTAGGGCCTGGCATTTCGCAAATATATTAATTGGCAACAAAAGAAAAAAACTAGAATTATGTTAAAAGTTTGGAAACATTACAAAGTTTTGTCGAATACCAATATTATTGCCTGTAATATGTGGCATTTTCCTTTAAAAAAGAACAATGGGAAATTGTACAACTGGAAACTTAAGCGCAATAACGATAGACAAACATCGATGACATTTAATCAAATGATTTTTAAACAAAAAATGCGCAAGTAAGATTATATGCATTTTTTTTTTTTTTTTTTTTTTTTTTTTTACAAAGGTTAAACATTATTTTAAGGTGAAATACGAATCGCATGTTACATTATCTGTGAACGTAAATCGTATGGTTCTCATGCCTGATTTTTTGTTTTTGGAATTTATGAATGATAAATGACCCAATTGCTTGATAGGTTGTTTATGGACACTCGAGTCACATGGAATGATCCCTCAAATATCAAGATTTGCAGAGAACATTTGGTCAGAAATTTCTGACGGGTCAGAGATCGCATTAAGGGGGACTGTTTATTAATCATATCCCAAGTCGATATTCATGTGTCTAAAACATATTTTGACATAAAATGTCATTTTATGTATCCATGGCTCTCTCTCTCTCTCTCTCTCTCTCTCTCTCTCTCTCTCTCTCTCTCTCTCTCTCTCTCTCTCTCTCTCTCTCTCTCTCTCTCTCTCTCTCTCTCTCTCTTTTCTAGTGCAAATTCTGTATAGAGAAGTAACATCCTGAACAGCCAAATAAGTGTCATTGTAGGTTATTAAACAAGCAACTATAGCTTATAAGATTGGTTGACTATTTAAGAAGGAGTGCACTGTAGTTACTTAAACACCTCGAAACTGAACTTTAGGAGAAGCAAGATGTATGATGTATGTTATCCTTACGGACTATGTTATACATTTTATGCCTAACAAAGTCAAACATGTATATCTGTATTTCAGTTGAAATTGCTATTGTTTCAATTATATAAATACAACAAATAGATTTGTGGAAACCTTGCAGTGTCGACCTCGAGGTTGAAAAGGGAGAGGAAGCCTCAAAATGAATTGCACTCTTAAACTGAGTTTGTATGTATATATGTATATTTATATAGGTATGAATATAAATATTTAAATATATATTCATATATTGGCACATTTATTTAAACACGTATACATATATACACACATACAATACACACACGCGCGCGCGTGTGTGTGTGTGTGTGTGTGTGTGTGTGTGTGTGGTTGTGGTGTGTGTGTGTGTGTGTGTGTGTAGTGTGTGTGTGGTGTGTGTGTGTGTGTGTGTGTGTGTGTTGTGTGTGTGTGTGTGTGTGTGTGTGACAACATACTTCGAGGCCGGAGAATCAGAAACATTTTGAATATTTTTTCACATCAAATAAAAATCAGTTTGTGGATTTAACAGGTTTTATAGTTGACTTTTATAATCTGAACATATCATACTTATCTACACATCATGAATAGTTTAACTTGCCGAAAATATCATTTATAACAGTGTATTTAGGCGTAAATGTAAAATTTATGATTTTTTCTTTTTTTTTCAGACATCTGTTGCATATAAAAGTCAGCCTCTGTTCTTAAGTTTTGTAATTTGAATGGTTATGACGATCTGATATTATTTCTTTCCTGTTGCAAATTATTGTAAAATTATTTAAACCAATCACAATCATCGTTACAGACCCACGTCTCTCCCTCGCGGAATACTAAATACTACACATGTATAGCCAGATCAAAATTGTCACCACCAGACTCCTGGTGTACCAGTCGGGAATGTCCGCAATTGTACATGCATTTGCACATGTATACATGTATATATATACTTCCATACAGACATGCACAAACATATTAACACGTATGGAAACACTAATACAACCTTGTTTTTGCATTGGGTCACGTTCCGAAAAATAGGATTTTTCTACTTTTTGTAGGGACCACTTTTTCAATTTGTTATAACTTTGGAACCAATCTTCATATCTTCATGTAGCAAGCAGTATTTGAAAGAGAAGTGAATTTAGTTTCTCTGGTAATCAGATAATGAAGACTGAACAAAGGAATTTAACAGAAAATGAACTGTAGTATCTCCAATCCCGTCTTTGTGAAATGAATTAATGAATAAAATTGATAAATAGATAAATACTTATATATAAATTTCATCCGACTTATAGTTTGTAGGCATCAGCTGAAAGGTTTTGAAAACGCGTAGAGATTGGCGTCGGATTTTTTTTTTTTTTTTTGAATTCCGGTCCTTTTTTTGGCGTATTGACAATCGAAAAAGTATTTATTTATTTTATTGTTTTTAAAGTAACTAAAGCAAATCACGAAAAAACTCACTTTAATCTCTTTGTATGTTATAAATATTGTTTATTTTCATGGTAAAGTATGCAACTGTGTTGGCCAGTAGTGGTACAAGTGTGGAAGAATAGATTTTTGGGTGGCATTTCCTCCTTTGGGGGAATTTATTCAAATTTAGAACCTGAAGGTGAAGA